TGACTGCTGTTTTCCATCAAGCTTTTATTTGAAGACAAGCTTACTCTGTATCCTTGGACTATACGGATCTTCTATTTTGAAAGCAGGATCTAAAGCACGGAATATCACCTAAAAACAGATACAAGAGTAACTGGTATTTATGCAATGATCAAAAACTAGATTTGCAAGTAGAATGTTAATACCAAAAAAGCAAACAAACCTCTCCTTCGGTTGAGGGTTCAATGTCAGAATATCGGGAATCACAGATGATATCATCGACTTTTCTCATGGGGCCCGTTGAAACACCTGGAAATGAGCTCTCACAGTCATAGGCAAAGTATCTGTACACGCCCCAGGTTTTCCCAAAGTCGGACGATCGCTCTATCAGCATAGCAGCTGGACGGAACGTCTAGAGGCAGGGTGGAAAAGGTTCATTTGATATTTTTCATTGGTAATCTTTTTTAGTTTTTAATCTCAAATGAAAATATCACTCAACTGTATGCCATAACCCTGACTGCATGTGGTTGGTATTTCAGGCTATGGCTGGATTTCAAATACTTCAAGCTGTTCAACAGAGCCTCTTCTTGTAAGGAAAGTGTCTAGCCTCTAAATTTGCACTTTCTCCTACCCCACCAAGATTAGTAAGCTGTTTCTCTTTAGAAGCTGATTATAAACAGGCCTTAATAGCAGACAAGTTTGGGTATATTTAGTCACCAGTCCCAGAATATGATTGGTTAGTTTGAGTGCTTATTCTTTCATTCGTTCATTTGATCCTTCAGTAGCTGTGTAATGGCTGCTCTGTGCTACCAGACAGTGGTCTATATGCTGTATGTAGATAGTCCAGTGAGGAACCGATATGGGTATAAGCCATTTATTACACGATATGTCACACACCAAAGCAGAACCCCATGTGGTGTGCCTGGGGAAACAGAGGAGGGAATTACTAATGCGAGAATCCTGCAATTCCATTCCTAACTTATATACCCAAAAGAAGTGAAAACAGGCACCAGACACATCTGTACATGAACGTTCACAGCAGCACTATTCACAATAGTCAAAGAGTGGAAACAACTCAAATGTTCATCAACTGATGAATGGATAAATAAAAGATTCTACATACATATAAGGGAATGTTATTTGGCCATAAAAAGGGATGAAATTTTGGTATTTCCTACAACATAGATGAATTTTGAAAACATTGTAGTAAGTGAAATAAGCCAGGCACAAAAAGACAAATATTGTGTGACCCCCATGCATGAATAGGCAAGTACATGGAGGTGGGCAGATTAGAGGTTTCCAGGGGCTGGAGGAAGGGGTCAATAAGGAGTTACTGATTAATGGGTACAGAGTTTCTATCTGGGGTGATGAAAAAGCTCTGGAAATAGATAGTGATGACGGTTGCACGATGTTGTGAATATACCTAATGCCACCAAACCGTACACTTAAAAAGTTAAAAAGGCAAATTGTGTGTTATGTATATTTTACCACACACAAAGCTAGGGAATGTTTCAGAGAGAAGATGGCATCAAACTGGACCTTAAAAGGATAACTAGGTATTTTCCAGGCAAGGGGTGTAGATGGCTGCAGGTGGCAGAAGACTGTTGGTTGGGGCAGGGTAAGAAGGAATTTGTTTGTCATGCTAAGAGGTTTACTTCATCTTTATGCAATGAATGGGGAACAGTGGAAGATTTAAGGGACAGAATGAAATGATCAGATTGCACTTTAGAAAAATAACTCTGTGGCAGAGTTCCTGGACATGGACAAAACAAGAGACAAAGAAACCAAGTGATAGAAAAAGATGAAGGTCTTAACTCAAATATTACAGTTTGCATAGAGATAAAGGGATGGAATTGAAAGTCTTGAAAATTTAGTGAAAGTAAAATATATTGAATTACATTTGGTGATCAATTAGATTTCAGTGAAAAGGGAGGGAAACATGGGCGCCTGAGCCTGGGGAGCTGGGAGGACTGTGCTTGCTAATAACAAAGACACAGAAGAAATGTGAGGGCATTTGGTTTTGGACTAGTAACTTCTGAGACATCCACATGGAGATGCCCACTGGACAACTGGAAACAGTGGGCTGGCACACAACTGCAAGAATNTTTCATTTCTGCTGATGCAGTCTTATCATGTACGACACAGGGCAACAGGGAACGGGCCCAGTGCATCAGATGCTTTTAAAGTCCAAATACAATGTTAAATATTTATAATCTATGCCTAGCTTACAATGAAGACTCTAGAAAGAGCCATGGGTTGAAAGAGAAAGTCCATGAGTCCATGCATTAAAACTTGGGCTCTTTGTAAAATCAAAGACTAAACAGAGAAACCTCAGTGGCCTATTGAACTGAATGGAATTTATGGATGCCAGCACTTCCTCCTTCACAAATGCTCCTGCACAGAATGAGCACAAGCGCCTATTGAGGAGAGGCCAAACAACAAACTTGAAGAGCAGCTGGAGTATTTAGAAACCCTTGAACTGATCTTTGTGGAAGCCCTCGGAAGAACAAATACACTCCTCTCCGCTCTCTCCTGCCATATTCACCAAAAACTACGCCTTACATTGACTGCTGTTCTAAGGGGTAAAGTCACTTCTGAAGCGAGTCTCAGAGGTCTCAACAATAGGGACAACCAAAGAGGTATTGGTTCCCTAGAATACGAAGTAAATCAAAAGCATAAACAGCTAAAATGGATGCTTCTTTAACACAGAAATAGATTTTCTGGTGCGAGGTAACAATAGAAGACAAGAGAATTATAATGTTAACACATTCCCCAAGTCCCACGAATTTCACCCAAAAAAAGGAGCAGACTGTGAGTCCTTTTAGGGACCCAGGGGCGGTTTGCCCAGTGGACATTTCTCAGAAGTGGATGTTGACAGCAGGGAGGGCGGGCCTCCCGGAGCTCCCTCGGCAATAGCACAGGGCTGGACGTGCCACTAAGTATTTGTTTTACAACAGAATGAATGAGTAAATCAGAGACCAGAGACAGTCTGGGCCACATGTGAAATTAAGTTAAGTGGGGAAACGGCACTCCTCTGGCTAGAGCCCCTGGACTTCTTCCATCCTAGTCTTCCATGCTCAGACTGGAAAGTTCTGTGGGTCTTGGTCAAAACCAGGGCCAAGCGCAGCGGAGAAAGCTGAGCAGCTGCCAGCCCTGCCTCTGCTCACCTGCCTGCACCCTGAAAACACGGGGGGGTGGGGCCTCACCCTTCGCTCTGACTACAGGACCAGGTCCACACAAGACATAAGCCACAGCCGATGGCAATGCCACAAACAGCTGCAGGGCAGCTAGAATTTACCGAACAGTTTCTTCACGTCAGGCACTTTGGTAGGTGGTTTATTATCTCATTTTCCCTCTATTACAACCCTAAGGTCAATAGTACTCTCTCCATTTACAAATGAAAAAAACAGACTTAAATAAAAGTTTTAAGTAANCAAGCCAACTCTTAACCAATAAGCCACTTGGCCAGCCCCTCCCTGGTTTCTTTTAATAAGGACACTTGGATTAATAACTCCTGTCCAGCTTTAAAATCTTATAGGTCTATAAGAATAATTAGTTTACTTAAAAACTGGTAAAATAACCTAATTTTATCCATTTTGCAAATCACCCAAGTCCCAAAATTTTAAAAGTACATAATTTGAAAGCACAGCATAAAAGTGGGAAAAGAATGAAATGAGAAGATATAAAGAAACAAAGTCTATTGATTCCTAAATGATATCCTGTGGTTCTAGGTTAAAATTTCCAGTTTCTTTGGGCTGGGATTAATTTATGCCTACTATCATGACGACTGGAATGCTTGTGGTTTTTAATCTTCCCTAAAATAAAGGAAGATGTACAATATTATTATTTTAAAAGCTTTTTAATCCTTATTAATTAAAATATTTACTGCAGCAGCAGCCCATAGCAACGATTTCTGAAAATTAATTGTGTCTATGAAATGATCAGTCCTTACATTCTTGTAGTCCAAGAAAGTCGGCAAACAGAAAATCAACAATAAACCACACTATGATGGTCCCATGGGTGAAATGTAAGTGGAAAAAGAAACCCCTAGAAAATGTGAAAGACTTAGGGTTAAGACTAGCGTCACTTGGCTTTTTAGATTCGTCTGTGGAAAGGAGAAAGCCACGCAAAGTGCTTGCTTACCATTCCTTCTACTTCTTCACTGAATCCATCCACAGGGGCACATTCACTGGCATGGCCATAGCAGAAGCAATTTCCTCGAACCACCATATCATAAACTGCATAGTAGTACTTTTCTCTGATTTCCATTCTGGAATCCAAGAGGTTATCTCCCAAAGTATGTAGTTTCACAAACTTGATTCTCAAGTTGGTTATTTTTAAGAGATCTATGAAGGGCACCAAGAAGATGAAAAGTCTGCTCAAACAAGCAAGGCTTCTTTTGCAATTACACAACAGTTTTTCTCTTTATACAAAGGTGTGACAAATAAAAATGGCTTAAGTGAAGCTTACTCCCCTTGTATGATCTACATGATCATAATAGTAAAGTTTAACATAACATGGCAGCCTCTGGAAGACAGGTTACTACCTTCTCATTAGATTAATGAGAATGTTTATTCCATGATGGATTTGTTTGCAGGCTGATGTTTCAGGAAGAAATGTGAAAGCAGAACAATTTAAGAATGTGGTTACATGATTGCCAGAGCCCACTGGCACATGGTAACCTACACTATTGAAATACCATCTAGTTCCCACAGCAATTAGTCTCAAAACCTGAAAACTCCACTGAGGTGGGAAAAGGTTTTATCAAAGCACCCCAATTTTATTATTATAATATAGTCAGAAAGAAACATATTTTGTGCTTATTTTTGGAGCGGAAAATATTATCTGAAACTCCCCACCATTTAGATGAAGTCCAAGTTACTAAAATAGATTTAACACTATAGAACAATCACAATCCAGGAACAGAATATCTCAACCAAGTTTTTAAGCAACATGACAATATATAAGTTTTTTGGTTCTAGTTTTACAATACAAATTTACCAATATAATTACCAATGTAAGATAGTGGCATAAGGATAAAGGAGCTTAATGTTAGGGGGTGTTGGGGCATATTATTTTTTCCTAAATATAAGTTACTTGTAGGTCAAATTCTCTTATTTTATCTTCTTTTTCCTGGGTCTATAGACCTACGCTGATTATATTGGGTTGTCGGAAAAGTCATGACGGATTTTTGCAAAAGATGGTGCTAGTTCATTTTTGGAAGTACTAGAGTCATTCGAATCTATGTTATTGCTATGTCATTTGACAGCTTACAGTTCTAGCTTCATTCTAAAAAAAAAAAATTGAGTGATTTGGTTGAGTTTTGGAGATTTTACAAGTTGAAGATGGAAGACCAAACTGCATTTTCGCCATATTTTACTGTTTTACTTCCATCA